CTCATTGGTTTCTCCTTTTCAGTCTCCTTTGCTGGTCCCAAAACTTCCCCGAGAACTCACTTGTTAGGGGGCCTCTGGCCTTGGTCTTCAGCCGCCTTTTATTGTTTACGCTTTCCTCTACGTTTATCTCATCAAGCTTTGTGATTCAAAGTGTTGTCACCTGTGATGTCCAACAGAATTTTCTGAGATGACAAATATTCTATAGGCCCAATGACCAGTATGGTGGCCACTGGCCACATCTGGCTACTGACTATTTGAAATGGGACCATAGTGTGAATAAGGAACAGAATTTTAAGGTGTATTTATTTCCATTCATTTACATTTAAATAACTACACTATATCATTTCTATTATAGAATATAGAAATATAGTTTGCATATAAATATACTATAAATATCTATATTTATATTATTTATATTTATACCACTTGTATATGTGGTTGGGGGCTACTGCAGCAATCAACTTTAGTCTAGATCATTGTGTTTATAAACTGTGGGCGGTAACCCATGAGCTGGTCTTGACCTTTATTTTTTTCAAAATAAAGTATCAAGGGGAATCACATATAGTAAGAGTTATATTTTTTTCAAGACACTTTTATTTTGGTCCTGTGTCTCTGGGGACGAGGTTCCTCTAACTGTGTGGATCACATGTGGTTTTGTGGTGGGGGGGGGTGTTTTTTAGTTGCAAGCCACCGATTTAAATGCTAGTGATGCCTGTTGCTTATGTCGTCAGCCGGGAGCTGAGACGCCAAGTCATGTTTATCTGTCTTCCTAAGATCCCCCTCACGTATGTAAGGGGCACCGCAGGTCTGTAAACCTGCTTTTTTCCCCCCTCCAGTTATCCCTCATCTCAGCATAATGGCACCACCTATCTTCCAGTTGATGAGGGTCGGAGGCCTTCATCCCCCTTTTCCCTGTCTCCTTCCTGTTTTACTGGGGCCCCACATTCAGTCTAGCAAGGTCTTTTGGCTCTGCTTCTGGAATGGATCCACTTAATTTCCGTTTCGATTTCCATAAACTTTAAGGCCCTGGCATCCCTAGCCTGGATCTCTGTAACAGGTCCAAACTGGCCTCTCTTTCATTCTTTTTTTTTTTTTTTTTAATGTTTTAAATGTTTATTTATATCTGAAGGTGAGAGAGACAGAGCATGAATGGGGAGGGGCAGAGAGAGAGGGAGACTCAGAATCTGAAGCAGGCTCCAGGCTCCGAGCTGTCAGCACAGAGCCCGATGCAGGGCTTGAACTCACAAACCATGAGATCATGACCTGAGCTGCAGTCGGATGCCCAACTGACTGAGCCACCCAGGCGCCCCGTCTTGCATTCTTATCTTTATAAAATCCACTCTCCATGTGGCAGTCAAAGGGATCTTTTAAAAACCGAAATCAGATGATGTTGCTTCCCTACTTGAAAGTCTCCAGTGGCTTTCCATTGCATCAAGAATATTCTCTCAACACCTTACACGGCCAGTAAGGCCCTGGCAAGCTGACCCTAGCACCCCACTCATCTTGGCCTTTCCATACCAGGAACACCCACTCCCTTGCTTGTTTCTCTGCAGGGCCTTTGCACATGTGTGATGACCCAGGCCCCCAGACTTCCCCTGAGCTGGCCTCTCTATTAATTTAGATCTCGCATCAGATATCATTCCCTCAATGGGCAGCCTTTCTCTGACTAAATTAGTGTCCCCAACCCAAGTCTGAGTGATCTGTTTCGGAAGTAAATGAGATATATTGTTACTTACGCAGAGAGTTTTTCAGTAATGCGAACAAGAGACATCCAAGTATTTTTGATTACAGATTCTTGAATCTTCTTTGAGAATTATCTGTAATCAGTAAAATCCTTCAGTGCAGGTTTCTGTATGGAGAATAAATATTGGTCTTGCTGTTTTTTTTAACTTAATGAGCACCTTTTTTTAACTTAATGAGCACCTCATTATGCAAATTTAACGAACACTTTAGAAATATGTATAATACAGTCTATTAGGTTACAGGCGTAAATTACACTAGTATAAAATTTCAGAGATTTGTTGATGTTAATATATTATAAATACAAATTATTTGTTGAAATTTTTAATCAGTAAGATTACTGCACATCATGATAGATTTTTTGAGAAAATCTGAATGTGATTTAAATTACCAAATTGCTTTTGTCTTGAAGAAGAAAGGTTGGTAGCTTAGGGTATATTATTCCTTATGATATTTAATCTTTATAATGAACTTTATGAAAAATATGTTATAGAAATAGTGTAGGATAAATGATAGGATTTGTAATTCTGACCTTGGCAATAAAAGAAAAAGAAAAAGGAAATCTACACTGAAATGTTAAAGTTCATACAGCAGTCATTTGAGTAACACTTTCCAAAAACAATGAAACTGAAACTGTGTGTTTCACATTACACTGTCTAAACCACATAGCAGGGGGCGAAATAGATGTGCACTTAATTAACAAAATGAAAATTGAAAATAAGTGTGAAAACTTGGCATTATTTTTTTTAAATTTTTAAAATGTTTTTATTTATTTTTGAGACAGAGAGAGACAGAGCATGAGCAGGGGAGGGGCAGAGAGAGAGGGAGACACAGAATCCGAAGCAGGCTCCAGGCTCTGAGCTGTCAGCACAGAGCCCGACGCAGGGCTTGAACTCACGGACTGTGAGATCATGACCTGAGTTGAAGTCGGACGCTTAACCGACTGAGCCACCCAGGCGCCCCCAAAACTCGGCATTATTTTAGAAAACTCTTTAGATTAGATACAATAGTGCTCGCAAAGTTAAAATAGGGCCTCATTTTACTTCTTATGTGTTCCATTCTGCCCAAGGTCAGAAGTGGCAGGGATGAAAATGTTTTTATCCTTTGACCCCTTTCTGGGTAGCTCTCCAAAGAGGATAATCTAAATTGCAGATTCAGGCACCGAGATGTTAGTTGTGGCTTTGTTTATAATTCTGGAAAGTCAGGGACCAACCAAACATCCAGTGATGGAGAAATTAAGCGGAGTGTAGAATATCCATATAATAAAGGATCATATAACCACTGAAGTTAATTGTTAGGAAGACTAATGTTGTGGGAGAAAGCTGACATAATGACATAATGCTAAATTGAATAAAAGGACATATTTATACGGTGTGATCTCAATTAGGTAAAACACAGTTTTCATAGGAGAAAATATATTAGTGGTTCATTCTGAGGAGTAATTGTTGCTGGCTTATATTCTCTAAGTTGTTTAGGAAAATCATATAACTTTATAATAGCAAAAACATTACCAAAAAAAAAAAAAGAAATTTGGTGGCTAACAAAATCCTAAATGTTTAAGCTTCTTGTGTTTTAGAGCTGGAGAGTGGTTGCAGAGATCATTTGGCCTGGGAGGCCGTGACTAAGCGTTGTGGTTGGTAGGAGAATTTAAGAGTGGTTCCTCACAAGGCCAAGTGGAGAGGAAGATTTCTCAGTGGTTTTTCTCTTGGTAAATTCCCAACGTACTCGGTTCTGTCATTCACTGACTGCTACTGGCTGGTCAGAAAGTTTGGCTGTCCGCTTCTTCTGTGACAAATATAAAATGGAAAGACAAGGTAATTATTACCTAATAAATGGGATTTTTGGAGTAGCCAAAAATTTTAAGTCATAAGGCAACAATGAAAGATTCCTGAAGGCCTCAAGTGGGAACTGTTCTACATTGTTCTTTGATCTTTGGGTGTCCATCTATGACTTTTAAATGGGCTTTTAAATGAAATTAGAATAGAATAGAAAAGGGGCGACTGGGTGGCTCGGTCAGTTAAGCGTCCGACTTCGGCTCAGGTCACGATCTCACGGTATGTGAGTTCGAGCCCTGCGTGATCTCACGGTATGTGAGTTCGAGCCCTGTGTGATCTCACGTTATGTGAGTTCGAGCCCCGTGTCGAGCCCTGTGCCGACAGTTCGCAGCCTGGTCTCTCTCTCTCTCTCTCTCAAAATAACAAGTAAACATTAAAAAAAATGTTTAAAAAAAAGAATAGAAAATATGGAGTGTATTATGTACATTAAGTATTTGTTCTTTAGATTTTTATTTCAGGTATGTGTCTGTATGTACTGGATTGTAAATATAAAATGTGTGTGGCTTTCGAAGAAAACTGATCTATAGTCAAAAAAGTCAAAAGACTCTTCTTTCTGAGATGTAGATCAGTGGTTCTCAGTGTGGAACCAGCAGCAGGTTACCTGGGAGCCTGTCAGAGATGCACATTCTCACCCCCCACCCAGAACTACTGAGTCAGAAATTCTTGGGCCCAGCACTCTGTGGTTTAATAAGTCCCCTGGTGATTCTGATGAGGACTTACATTCGAGAACCGCTGTTCAAGCCTTGCTGTTCCGGGGGTGGTCCAGAGACTGACACTGGCATCAGCTGGCAGCCAGTGAGAGATACAGACTTTCAGACCCCAACCTGGGCCTACTAAGTCAGAACCCACAAGCTCTCTGGGTGATTCGTATGCTCATAGTAAAGGTTGATTCAAGGTTGAGAAAGCTGATCTAAACCACATGTGCCTTTGGAGGCCAAATCAATAATGTCGGTGACTGAGAGCAGCCTGTGTTTTTCTCCCCCAAAGAGAGCAGCGGCGAGAAGGCATCACGATGTGAGGTTTAATTATGCTTCATTGGTTTAAAAATGTCCTGTAGCAGGGGCGCCTGGGTGGCGCAGTCGGTTAAGCGTCTGACTTCAGCCAGGTCACGATCTCGCGGTCCGTGAGTTCGAGCCCTGCGTCAGGCTCTGGGCTGATGGCTCAGAGCCTGGAGTCTGTTTCCGATTCTGTGTCTCCCTCTCTCTCTGCCCCTCCCCCGTTCATGCTCTGTCTCTCTCTGTCCCCAAAAATAAATAAACGTTGGAAAAAAAAAAAGTCCTGTAGCGAACCAGCGAGGGTTAGCCCATCCAACCAGACTCATCACCTACAGTTAACTGCAGTTGACCTCAATGACTTCAAGCAGATTTGAACCCCACATTTTGGTAGAGCAAGCCTGCCAGATTAACTTCTTCTGCTCTCTTTTAGGAATTTATCCAGGAGCTGCTCTGTCGGATAAGAGGCATGAGAAAACTGAGTCCTCCGCAGAAGAAGACTGTATAATTCTAGCACAGGGTGGACCGTCCCAGAGACGAAGAAGGGGTCCTGGGATTTGGGCTTCATGAAGACATTTATTAAAGACTAGTTGCCCTGATGAGAACCTTTTTTTTGGGGGAGGGGGTGTCTATTAGACATTTATTCAAGAGTGTTCCTTTTTTGTTTTAAAAGGTTTTGCTAGTGTAATATTTTAATAGCAAGGATATCACGACTCTGGTTTCAGCCCAACCAGGGATATCAAACCAGGCAGACATGGAAGAATGGGCTGGGCCAGGCACCATTTTCTTTGAGAAATCAGAGGTTTAGGACGTAACTATACAGGGATGATGGTTTTCTTACAGCTAGTTTGGTAATACTTTTTCCTAAGTTGTACAACTGTCTCAGATGTCGAATTTCTTGTATATATCTCCACACGACTAAGTTAAAATGTAGATGTGAGTTTTATTTCACACCGATGGAATAAACTTGTGCTTTTCCTTTCACTGGAGGTCACAGTACCTGTGTGTTCAAGAGGTCACAAGACAGTCTTCGCGTGACCTGCTGCTGACCTTCAACATTCACTTTATGCACCAAAGTGAACGAAGTCAGTGTATCCGTTATTTTCATGAGCTACGCCACAAAAAGTCGAGTTGGTCAAGGGCTTAATTCATGGACTTTATATTATTTCATTATTTGGGATGCTTTGCCAGGTCACGTCCTTATTGCCTCGTTTGTGGTCTTTTAAAGTTTTATGAACCCTTAATTTGAAGAACTATTCAGATGTCTAGAGAAATGCCCGTGCTGAGTGGTGTTTTGCAGTGGGAAAAGGAAGCACCGTGTAGCAATTAATTCTCTGCTTTCAACCAAATACTGTGTATTATTCTCTCCCCACGAAAGCAGGTCGTAAGGAAACTTAGCAAATTGGGTATCGTCCTCCCTAGAAGTAGATCTGGTCCCTTCCGTCCCTGGACAGCATTAGACCAGAGCAGGCGAACTGAGTGTTGAACACCGTAGAGGTGAGAAAGCCTCACCTTCTCTCAAGAGAGTTGATCCAGGGGCATTTGCTCGTGTGGAAGGGGGGTGGAGATTGTGTTTTTGGTTGTCTCGTTGGCATGTGGTGAGGATTCCGGCTCCGGGCCCTAATCATGCACCCCGGGCTCCTTGCTTGGAGCTAGGCATGGGGCACCAGCCCTGCCCCTCTCTGTTATATATCAGCTCCCTGGAGAAGGGTCAACATTCAGATGGATGTGGGCTGGGTAAAAGGTCAGAGTAGAAACTCTTCCTTCCCCCCAGGAGGCCTCCACTGCCTCCCCACAGAAACCCCACTTACTGTAAGACGTCTCTAGGTGGCCCTGTCCGAGGACAAGGGTTAAACATTTTCTATCAAGGGTGCTCTGAACATATTTTATTTTTTAAAAGAACTATGTTTGTGAATTTTATGTATACTGGCAAGCTTTCGAAAATGTATTTAATTTTGTAATGTTTACCAATGATTTATTTACAAGCTATTTACTCAAATAAATGGAGCTGCTTACAACTCTGCATGCACATTTCATTGCAAAACATGTTAAAATGATCACTTGACTCTGTGAGGTGTTCTGTGGACAGGGGTACCAAGCACTTCCATCTGGCTTTTCGTTTTCGAGGTGTTTTCGGGCATCTGATCCTGGCTCTCTCCTGATGGAAGCAGAGTTGCTGGAAAACACTCCTGGGCCGGGAAGGAAACCGATGAACTCTGTGTATTTGGTCCTGTCTGGATTCCATGCCAACCCTCTCTCAGGCTATGCGCTTTGCATTTAACTAAAATGCCCTTTTCTCCATCTGATAGAAAGTCTCAAGAAAATTAGAAATCAATCAGATATTCCAATTATTGTTAGAATGCCGTGGACCCTATAAACGGAAAAATACTGAATTTGCAGGGTTTCCATTAGGCCAGCCTGAGTGATGGGCTGGCTGGTTTAGATCTCCTCCTAAGTATGTCCAGAGCTTCTAGTATTTACCCCATCACAGAGTGTACCCACGGTATTATTACTGTCTATTCACCTCTTTGTCTCTTCCGTTAGACTCTAGGATCCTTGAGATTGGGACTGAGTCTTAGAAATCAGGCACCCGCTCCTGAACTTGGCCCATCAAAGAGATCAATACGTGTTTGCTCACTGAATACATATGATACAAGATTCTTCAAGAAAACTCAACTGTTTCTCTCCTGGCTGGGAGAGTGGTTCTTAGGCCTGAATGTGCATTTGGATCACCTGGGAAGCTTTAAAAAGTTCTGACCAATTTCATCAGAATTTGAAGGAGCAGACCTTACGTGTTTTTTTTTTTTTTTTTTTTTTTTTTTACCCCCCAAACTCCTAGCTTGAGCACCAGCTGGCCCATTGGATCATTCTTGTGTAGACGAGCTTGACCTTACTGAGCTCAGCCAGCCATGTTTATGCTGTCACAGCATAAACTATTTCTCATTCTGTCTTCTGCTGGAGAGGAATTACAGCCCAGCACTAAGGGGAATGACTCCAAAGTATCCAGCTTCTAGTTCAGTACTCACCCGAGCATTGAGAAATCTGTTTATTTATCACTGTGCTAAGCACTTACATGCCTTATCTCAGTCCTGATATTTAGCTTTTTTCATTAAAAAACTTTTAATATTTATTTATTTTTGAGAAAGAGAGAGAGAGCACAAGTAGGGGAGGGGCAGAGAGAGAGACACAGAATCGGAAGCAGGCTCCAGGTTCCGAGCTGTCAGCACAGAGCCCGGCGCGGGGCTCGAACCCATGAGCCGTGAGATCATGGCCGGAGCCGAAGTCATATGCTTAACTGACTGAGCCCCCTGGGTGCCCGGCCCTGATATTCATCTTATGAGATAGGTTGCATTATCCTCATTTTACAGAAGAGAAAATAAAAGGCACGTTGAACAGTTTACCGGAGGTCACATGTTTACCGGAGGGCTGCTGTCTGACTTTACGCCCCTCAACCATTAGGCTTTCCTGCCCCTTGCGGGGGGTTGCTCTCTGGTGCCCTGCCGGAGCGAAAGCCAGGAGCTGCATGTAAAGCCAGCTGAGCCCCTGAGCTGAGGGGCGGGGAGTGGGAAACTGTGGTGGGAGCAGGTCCTCGGCCACGTTCGGGTTCTCCCTCCCTCCTGAGGACAAGGCCTTCCGGCTCCTGAGGGTCGGTCAGTGCAGCCAGACTCCGTGCTGCGCCTCCATTTCCAGGCTCCCCGGCCTTCTCCCCTGACAAAAATCTCCTGGACTTGGCCTTGGCAGCTCAGCACGGAGTACTTCCCATCAGTTCCCAGAGGAGGCCAAATCGGGAGAAAGAACAGTTTGAGGACAGTGCTTTTCCATTCCTGTAACACACAGATACCTGAGTTCCATTTACTATCTAAAGTCCCCATAAAAGACGATGTGCTGTGCAGAATCACTACCAACAATCGACGGGCACGTGATGACATCGGCTCTTTCTAGGAAGGGGCACAGTGGTTGGAAACATGAGCTGATTTTGAGCCATGACTACCATGTCCGCAAGGACACTGACCAAAGGGGCAACCGCCGAGAGCAGCCAGGCTGGCCCAGGCACTTGGGCCACCGCTCGGGGAAGCAGATAGGAGAGCCTCGGAGATGGCCCCTTCCCCTTTCATGCCACAGGCAAGACTGCCGGTGGGGGCCAGAAAATCGCCCCATGGCTCAGTGCTTAGTTCGGCTCCCACCCAGCCCTCTGAGATGGTGTTTGCCACTCTTCCTGCTGTCCCTCCAGTGTCGTTCAGCAAGACACCTGGGCCCTGGGCCAGCCTCCAATGTGACTGACAGCTTGGGGAAAGGCAGGCCCCACAGCCGAGGGGACACTTCTCTATTCTCACATTGTTTTTGCTTCTGAGTCAAAGGCCTGGGGGTTCCCTCTTCTTCTCAGGGAAATTTCCGTGAGTGACGCCGCTTTGAAGGTGCTGTCTCCCCACCCCCACCCTCATTGTCTCCTCCATTTCCCCTGTCTTTGGTCACTAGACTCAGGGCCCTCTAATGGCATAAATGGCCTAAGGGGGCCTGTAGATGTAGTACTAAGTAGACGCCGCCCCAGGAACAAGGTGTGAGGGAGGCGGGAACCCCTGGTCTGTGGTCGATCTGAAAAAAGAGAAAAAGAATTCAATGTATTTGGCAATTAGAACTTTGCGAAAGCCATTTTCAAACTGGACACAGCTAGGAAGACCAGTAGTTTCCCTCCACTGTTTTCCTCTTCTTGAATTTACTACCCCCAACGATCCTGCAGAGTTACTACCAAGAACGAGTGCCGTTTCCTTTGGGAGTTGGGATATCACTGTGTGTTTGTAATTTGCCTGTGAAAAAGTGGGTTGCTTCTCACAGTTCTCTCTGAGCGAGACCTGTCCAGACTTCACGAAGTTCCTTCTACCCCTATTCAGACACAACTGTCGGAAATGTTTCACTTTCTCAGTGGTCTCACGCCACCGTGGTGTCTCTCGACTGGGGATGAATTGTTTGTATAAGACTGGATCGCTCACCCCTTTTCTTGGCTCTGCGGGTGTTCCCACACAACATGGCGGACAGGCATTTCAATAGAATACTGGTATCAAACCAACTACAGAGTAGGTTCTGGAAATCTGGTGTTTTGGTGCTTTCATTGGATCCATTGGATAAATACGACCAGATTCATCTCTGGTACAGTTTCCCTTCGGCTTGCGGCTCTTTAATTAGAGTGTTAAGTGACTCTGCTGGATGGCCTTCTTTGGGCCGACCTTGTTCTGATAGATTCTAGGGGTAGGTAGTCCTAACAAGGATACGAGGGTAAATTAAAGTGCACTTTTCACACCACGGCTGTATAGACTTGATCTCATTTATATGCATATTTTTAATTCAGTGTTACCGTTGTTGGAAGACAGTTCTACGCAGGTCTCTTATGTTCCTGCAGGTCTTAATTAACATCAGGACTGGAAGATAGAGATAAAGTTCCTCCCTCTAGAGCAAAGAGCAGGCAGGCTTCTGCCTGTTATAAAGGATGTTTCAGTGCGGAGTTTTCTCCTA